TATATTATTTGTTGTACGTTTTAATGAAATGAATAAAAAATTTAAATAAAAAAATAAATCATATACATACACACATACATACAGTAAATGCATACATATACTGTATTATTTATTCATGTATAATACTAGAAATTTAACCCTAAAAATCATCCATTAAGTAGGGGGGTAGTATTATACACAAGTTATTTATGATTAGATTTGTTATGCTTTTTAAGCTCAAAAAATGATGATCGTATTATACATGAATAAATACGGTATATAGACACACATACATACATATACATACATATACACATACACATAGGCATATATATAATTTTACACCCTCTCCAGCATAACGAAAATAATGATTTAAATTAACCCCTCAAACATCAGCTTCATTTCTTTTCAACAATTTTGCTTTTATCGTTTTACCAAATAAATTAATCGAGTCAGCATTTTTATAATCGCTGTCCAAATTATTCCACAATCTTATTCCTTGAACTGAGTTTCATCTATCCTTCAAGTTTATTCTAATTTTAGGTTTCGTAAACATTTCAAATCCTTTCAAATTATAACAACTTTCCCTCTTAACAAAATTAGATTGAATATTCAAAGACAGTATTTTTATGAGCCCTATGCAAGTACAATAGCAAAATATTTGTATTCAGTTACTTTACAACTCTGCCAACTTTAGCTTAATATGTGTAAAACTGATTATTTTAAAAAGAAAAGATGAAAACAAATAAAAATGTTACCACTGCGTGCAACATAAAAAGAGTTTGCTCGCTGTGGTAGAATATGGTGCACCGCATTAAGTTGGAAATCTCGAGTTCCAAGTTGGAAAGATGAACTCAAACACCAGTTAAAACTGGAATGCTGTGTCAAAATCCAACATGGCTGACTCATGGCATGAAAACTTATGATGGCCGCAGGGACAAATGTCTGTTAGTGTGCACGTTACAGTGAGGGCAGAGAATGCAGACAAATCCATTGGTATTGACTCGCACTGCTAATGGAAATCTGGTCACTGAGCACAACGATTAACAAGCTCTACTGATTTTCCCACTTGCTTCTGGTGCCCAATTAGGTCAGGTCTGATCATAGATATGAGTTCTGACTCCGATAAATGGAGCAGCACTCCCTGGCACATGTCAGCTCAACGTCTGTGAACGACAATTTCACCGTTGTTGTGTTTGTTACGATTCCTTTTTTTTTGGAGGGTTGCAAAGGTCAGTTCTGCCTTCCCCTGACCCTGAGGCTGTGGGTTCGAGCATCCAGTGTAAAACACCAAATCTTAAAAGATAATAGAAAAGATGATAACCATGAAGAAAAGCTCCTATTACAGACTAATGGAATGAGTTAACCTGTTTAAGTGCGGGTGTTTCGGAGAAACTGAGACGTTTATTTTCTAAACATGATGTCCCGGTGGCTTTCAAACCCCAAAACACATTACGGCAAAGGCTGGTTCACCCCAAAGATCCRGTGCCCCGGCACAAACAGAGCAATGTTGTATATGCTGTTAAGTGCCAGGAGGACTGCGACCAGTTATACATCGGGGAAACAAAGCAGCCACTGTTCAAAAGAATGTCCCAACACAGACGAGCTACATCTACAGTAATGGCCAGAACTCTGCAGTTTTCACTCATTTACAGGCCAGCGGTCACTCTTTCAGAGATGAGGATGTTCTCATTCTTGATAGAGAGGAACGTTGGTTTGAGAGAGGAGTAAAAGAAGCCATTTTTGTGAAAAAAGACCGTCCATCATTGAACAGAGGTGGAGGCCTCCATTTTCAGTTGTCCCCCTCCTACAGCGCTGCTATTGCCAGTATCACTCCACCCCCTGTTAACAATAGGTGTTAATTAGGTGTCAACGATAGCCATGTGATGTGAGTATCAGTCCCATGGAGGCAGGACTCAAAAGCCTGAATTTTGCCTGAAACTCTCAGACTGAAGAAGTCTCTTGGAGGAGAGACGAAACGTTTCATTAGAGAAGAACCCGTCCAGAAGACCTATACAGTTTTTTTTCTTTTTAACCTGTTGAAGTCTTTTTCTTTTTGTTTGGATCTGTGAGAGCCAAACATCCAGGTTTTAGATCAGACAATCTGTGGCCACATCTGTTCGAAATCATTCTCTGCCGGTCACGTAATGTCCAAGTCCGTTTAAGAAAGGGAACTTGCACCTGTGTCAGTGTGCGTGGAGGTGTTTTGACTGCAGAATGGCAAAAATACCAGCTGCCACTGGGAAAACAAAACTCACAGGGAAGAACAGAGGAGGAGAGAGGCTTTGGAAAAAAAAGAAAAAAGAAAAGAAGCCAGTTATGAACATTTCTGACATTCCTCAGCCCCACACAGCAGCAGGGTTTTCTTTAAAGGAAGCAGTCCATGCAGACATCAGTAACCAGACCAGGACCCCGCAGGAAGTCCTGCTCTCTCTCTGCTGCTGAGGACAGGAGGGAGAGCACATTAAAGCACGAGTTCAGGATTTCGTTCAGCCTGACACCAGTAAACAAGGAGTTTGAGCATGAAAGAGAAAGAAACTTTTACCACCTTGGAAAGTATTCCCCTTACTTCCTCTTTACTGGATGCTGGTATTTCCTGTTCAGAGAGGCTGCAGGATATTTATGGAGGACTGGCCCAAGAGAAAACTTTTTTTCCCCCCTCCTCTCTCTATGATACTGGGTTTCTGTAAACAGGCACGCTGACATGAAAAGCAGATGCTTCTCTGGAAAAGAAGCTTCTGGTTTAGTTTATTTCCACTTTTAGGTCAGAATCCAGATTTTTTTATTGCAGCGCAAAAAACACTGCTCTTCATCATCAGCTTTGAGGTTCTTTTGAAAAGAGAAAATCCTGTTTTAAAACAAACTTATTCATATTTCTGACCTTTTTTTTTAAACAATTTCAGGGTTTTTACAATTTTTACCCCCCTTTTTGTTAGCATTTCTTAGTTTTCTCATATTTATTGTAGATTTATCATTAGAATTCAACTTTTACTTCACAATTCTGTAAAGAATTACGTTTGTCTGTCTTTTTAAATATGTTCATATAAAAAAAAAAATCAAATATCCACGTAAGCAGCCAAGATTATGAAAAAAAAATGTGAAAAAAACTCACGATAAATAAGAGTTGTAATTTTTTCACTCATGTTTGTATATTAATAAACTTATTGTTTTTTGTAGCTAAAATTTTTAAAATAAATGTAAAAAACTGCAACTGTATTTACTGCTATATGACAAAAACAGAATGACGCTGAGGCAGCAGTGTTTGATAGAAAAGCACGTGTATTTTTCTTAGTTACATTTTGCAATGCATTCCATAAACAAACATTTATTTTAACATGATGTCCACAAGGACAAGTGCAAACCTTCCTGAAATTCAAGAGCAGAATCCAACAGGAATAAGTAAAAGTTAACGTACAAAAAAAAAAAAAAAAAAAAAAAAAAAAAAATAGACATCATGTGTTGATCTGAACATCAACACACTGGTAAAAAAAAAAGTCATCTTTACAGATTACCCTCAATATGAACTTGCAATTTACATTTCAGTACTTTTCTTCCCAATTTCTCTGCTCCCGAACATCTGAAGGCAGGCATTACAAGAAAACTGCCTCCCAGTTTCCTCCTCTCGATATGGGGGCGGTTTGTGTTTGAAGATCATAAGAATCTAGAGGCAACCTTGCAGTTAAGTTAAAAAAAAACATTTTGTGCAACTTGTGCAATAGCCAACCAAAACCAAAAGTTTGTAATATTAAACACAGAGATGAGGTTGAAGAATAAAGTAGCACATAATGAGATAAATGCTGTTTGGATGATGGAGGACAGTTCTACAGTACTACGCTTCATGATTCTTTACTTTTTAACTATTAAACAGACAATAACTACGTCCAAAGTGCTCAAGATTGTCCTTAAAACATAAAATAAGAATGCTACTTTTGTCAACCTTAAACTAAGGCATGTGTGACTTTAAACATGAAGTGGCAGAGATGATACGACACATAAATAAACATAAAACAGTGAAACTTTTCACGTCTGGCTTCAGCATCGGCGCTACCCTCTGTCGTCATTTCTTCCTTCAAACGGAACCATCTTACTGAATCACAGAAAGTATGTACAGGTTATTTAACAAGTGAAGTCGTATTTTCTCAAGAAATTACGACTATTTCTACTTTGAAACCCAGTTCAAGCAGGCTAAATGGGTGAGAAGACACCAGTGCAGGAGGGAACTGAACCCGATTCACTTCTGTTGCAGTGCAGTCGTGCAGCAAAGTCTTTACGCATCATCTCCCCCCCCCACCCACTCCTCTTTTTAAATTCCTCCCTCATTCTTCACCCGTGCAAATATTTCAATCAGCACAGAGTGGCGGCACAGAGGGATCAAACTGCAAACAGCTCAGCAGTAAAGGCAGCCTGGCAGAAAGCAGCCACAGGGCCCGATCCTGGTTCAGAACGAGACCCGAGAACCCTGCCGGCTCTCGGCATCCGCTCCGTTYAGTTTTGACTTCGTCGAGTCTCTAGTCCCTGCGACGTGTGGGCGGGGCGGGGGGTGGGAGGTCAACAGATCAGCTCCTGCTGGATCTCGGGCCGCGTGGGGAACGGGGGCTCGCCGAACGAGAAGGCGTCGCGGCCCGCCTTCAGCTCGCCCTGCCCCGGGCACATGAGGTACGTCCCGATCAGGCCCAGCTCGGGGGACGGAGCGGGGCTCTCGGGTTCCGACTCGGATTGGCTCATCTCGGGCTCGTCCAGCGAGGACCTCATGTGGAGGTGCGGGTGCGGGTGGGGGTTCAGCCAGGAGTGACTGAGGCATTCCTCTGCCGTGGCTCTCTTCCTGTGCACACAAACAATAACACCGTGGATGAGCGGAAATTCCCAAACAGCTTATACAACCATCGGGTTTTCTTGGATCTTTTCGATTGGATYGGTTCTCTTAGAGCTCTGCCATATTTCCTTTTAACCGTGGCTTCGTATAAACCACAAAAACAGCACTTTTAATTTGAAGATATGCTCTCCTTCTCGTCTCCTTGATTACCAAGAACCCTGGGAAATTTTGCCGTCTTCCAGGGCTACCACTAATCTGTTGTGATTAAATGATACTGGCTGGAGACTGTGGCTACTTTTCAGACGCACTGTGGTTACAAATTAGGGCTTTTGCTGGAGCAGTCTATTAAAACTAGAGCCAGAATGAAGTGAACCAGGACCATTTAGCTCTTTTTTTCCCCCTTAAACACAGTTACACTTTCATAGGTGTTTGATCTAACGTCAAAAAACTACCCAACTATCTCTTTAAAGAGTTGAGTTTAAGTTTTTTAARTGATGTTTTGACAAATGGTTAATTATTTGTGCCTTCTTGGCCACATCAGTCATAGAGAACAAAGGATCCAGAAAACGACAACCCAGGTGAAAAAGTATTATACTAAGTATACTAAACCTAAGTATAGTTTAGTACAGAGGTTCCCAAGCTTGTCGTCTTCTGACCCACAAACTATCCATGGCAAAAACTTGTGATAGTAACTTGTGATAGCACAGTAACAATATTTTTATACTACATTTATCCATTTTAAATATACTAACCTCACTCCTTTGTTACAACTAAGGCAAAAATGTCATTAATTCAGAAAATCTTTTCAGGACCCCACCTTGATGTTTTGGGACCCCACTTTGGGTCCCGACCCCAACTTTGGGAAACACTGCTTTAGAGGAGCCTCCAGCTTTTTGAGTTGAAAAGTTCCCTTCCCTGCTGAACACACAAGCTGTGTGGCTTTCTAAATATTCTGTGTGCCCTCACACCGAGGGAGGAGAGTCACCGCAGATGGAAAGCCAACACGCAGCCGCATCAGGTCGTGCTCGTTTTTGTCGAGAATGCTTTTATTGTTCTTCGTCTGTTTCCAAGGATGGAATAAATAGCTCTGCTTTAACCAAAGGCATTCGCTTCCCCTCTCTGCTCCGACTGCACCATGAGAAACAGATGACTGGTGGTTACTGGTGCTTTTCTTTCTTTCATTCTGTTTTTTTCTTTTTCTTTTAGAAGCACATCCAGGACACGTGAAATAAACGCTCTGTGTCCTTCGTCCCGGTCAAACTTMTAAAATAAACAGACGTGATTTCAGCCAGGTTTGGATTTGTCACAGTGGGTTTTATTGCCGTGAAATTCTGCAAGAATTCGAGGGTGAAGGAGACGATATCAGGTGACTGTCAGGGTTTTCTCCTTGTTTCCATCCTCTTGGAGCCAAAGCAGTTTTTGGATGGAGGGTTGCATGGACGTCCTACAAGTTGTCAGTGTATTACCTGTAGTAGACGGCAGCCAGAGTAATCTGAGTTTGGTATGNCAATTTTAAGTGTATTAAGTAGACTTTTAAATAATAAAGTGGAACAACTTCAAATATACTTAGTACACTTTTAATGTTTATATACTTACAATATATTAAGTATATTTTAAGTTGTTCCATTTTAGTATTTAAAAGTACACTTAAAATAGTACTTTTGTACAACTAAAATACAATTAAAGTATATTTAGTATTAAATTAGTTGTTCCAAAATAGCACTCTTTAAGTATACTGATGATTAGTGCGGCTTCAAGTATACTAAAGTATACTTAGATTTAATAGACTTTAGTATATATTTTTTTTCGCCTGGAAAGAGTTTGATTAACTATCAACTACTGWTAATATCACTTCAAATATGTTTAGAATATCTCTTTAGGTGACAGATTACAGCTGCAAAAAACAAAAAAACAAAAAAAGGAAGTGACTTCTTACTAAAATGACGTAAATCTTATTACCACACACTCATTTAGCTGCATGCGGATGTACTTCCTGCTGATCTGAATGTGACTCACATCCTTGGTGTGTAAATCACCTTTCGGTGCTACTAATGCATGCTTTGCATTTATTTGCTAAAAAATGAAATCAGATTAACTTTACGGTAAATCGTCTCACCTGGGGTTTTTCACCAACAGAGACTTGATAAAGTCAACAGCCAGGGAGGAGATGCCTTCAAATGTGTCCTGCGAGTAGTCTACGCTGACTTGGGAGATGTTGAGGTACGTCTCCTGAGTGTTGTCACCCAGAAAGGGCGACTCGCCCGTCAGCATGACGTAGATCAGTACCCCGATGCTCCTAGAATAAAAAGGAGGAGGATGTTATGGGACAAGATGTCATCTTTGAAACCAGTTTTGAGACATTCTGTGAAAACTGCTTCGACTTCCACTAAAGCTGTCATCAGTCAATAAAAGGAAGATATGAAGCAAGGATTATCTTGTGGTCAAAGGTCTAGACATGAAATAGTTTTTTTTCATGTCTGGGGAAATGATCAAGCTGAATAAGTCTGCACGAGAGATGGTCYGGATAAAAGCAGCACACTTACCACATGTCTGTAGCAGTGCTGATGGGCTCATAGTTCAGGATTTCTGGTGCTGCGAGGGAGACACACAAACCCAGTCAGTTAGTCGTGAAACATGACACTCAAACTGTAAAGAAACAGCTGGGTCTGGGRTTTTTCRAACGCTGAAAMGCAGAACTTACCCACGTACTCTGGGGTACCCAGGATCTCCCGGACTTCTGTGACGCTGTCCATGCGTCTGGACAAGCCAAAGTCAACGATCCGGATGTCGCCCAGAGGTCGGGCGCTGGTCAGCAGAAGGTTCTGAGGCTGGAGAGGAAGCCCAAACAGATTAGGCACGGGTATCTTACATAACATCTGGAAATGAATCGAGCAACCTGAGCCCTGAAATTAAAGTTGACTCTACGTGTGAATTAATTGGAGGTAACGAGATCTAAGGGGATTATTAGCTTAATTTGTCAATCTGAAGGTTGCTGCTTTGAGCTAATTATGAACGTATTAGGCAACACTAAAATGGAAAAGGTCTCATCAGGCTCATGAACTGCTTGGATTCAGTTATTGCCAACTAAATGTACCTAAAACCAAGTTTATCTCTGGTCCAGATGACTTAATGTCAGAGTTTGACATGACGAACTAACAATACGTGRTAGAGTGGTTAGGGGAGTCGACCTGGAACCGGAAGGTCATTGGTTTGATTCCTGTCCAGTCGACTCAGTCATTGTGTCCTTGGGCAAAACACCTTACCCGGCCTTGCCTACTGATCAGAGGGTCCGGTGGCGCCTGTGTATGGCAGCCTCGCCTCTGGCTACAATTGTAGTTTGCCATCATCAGTGTGTGAATGTGTGTGTGCATGGGTGAATGTCTGTGTAAAGCGCTTTGAGTGTCCTGGATGGATAGAAAGGCACTATATAAGTACAGTCCTTTTACCAATATCTTTCAAACCACAAGAACACCAAAGTCTGATTGACACATGCAGCCTAAAGACAACAACATACTTCACATTATTCACACCAAATTTAAGGCTTTAGAGTGGATTATTAACTCTACATCACATTGCATAAGATGTGTAAAGAGAAGCCAGACACTTTGTTTATTTGGCAGATTCTAAGAAACCTTCCTGTAGACTACATTGTTACAAGACCCATTAAAAMACACACACACACACGATAGCTCTGTCAGGTCCATTTATAAACTGTTTCCTCATGGGAACCGAGGTGACACACTAAACGGGCTCCGGTTGCATAACAGAAACGTCTCACTAAGTCTAAGCTTTGAGGGAATGAATTGTYCTCCATTGTCACACAAAAACTGTCCTCACTTTTAGATCCAGATGGACCACATTGTTTCGGTGCAGGAAGGCCACCCCGTTCAGGATCTGCTTGGCCAGTCGGATCACATCTTTCTCTGTGAAGGCATCGTCGTTATCAGCCACGCACTGGTCAAAGATTTCACCACCGGCGGCGCTGCAAAGAAAGCACAGAAAGAAAAGGAGAACATGAATAAAACAGAAAAACAAAAGAGGAGAATGGAAAACCCTCCTTTGGTCATTTTCACCTTTCAACACCCAAAAACTTCCACTTTCTTTAAAATTACATCATGGTTTGTTTGCTCTATGGCCCATTTTATCCCAAAAGGAACAAAGTCCGTCCACATCTACACACGTCAAAACATAAATCAATATAATTTTAGGCACCTCGCCTGTGAAAGCACCTTTCTTTACTGAAGTATCACACAGATAAGAACGGCTGTATGAGCAAACAGCAGCTCCAGATAAGGCCCATTACAACCTGACGTGCTCTAATTAAACTCACTATAATAGGAGGAAGAAGCAAAGACAAACTGTACTCCGCTGCCGTTAATCACAGCTTTTGTAACAAGGAAAAAGGAAATTAGAGGGGAGGGTCGGCGTTAAGTTGGGAACAAAATACCTCGTGAGCAAGTTTTCACACTTGTTTGATCAGCAGGGATTAGCTGTTTTTTTTTTTTTTTGTTTTAATTATTTCGTTCAAGTTGATTTTTGATTTCTGAGGAGCGGATTCCTGACTGAGCCTGCTGCTCTTGTGTAACACGGTAAGTATAGTGGAGACAATGTGGATTTAGGTTTGATGTTCCCCCCCATATCAGCGCCTGAAGCTGACAATCCACTCCCACCCCACCAAAAAAAAAAAAAAAAAAAAAAAAACTGGAACCATGTGTGGAGGATTTAGAAAGCATACAATCTCTTTTTTTTAACCCTCAGAGGAAGACTTTGTGCGTTACATAACCAGCACCTCCAATCTCCTGTTAGGTCTCTAGTTTTTGAGCCAACCTCAGCTGGAAAAATTACTTTTTTGTTCTCAGACATTTATAACTAGTTTTAATTGTTAAAAATTTTAAAAGAGACAACATCGTGTAAAATCTACTTTTGAGTTTTACATCATGTTATAATGTTATACTCATAAAAAAAAAAACATGCCCAAAGCCTTGCTTTGACTCATTCATGCATGTTTGAGAAATCCTGCAGCGTTTTTATGAAGCCATGCTGAGGAGCAAAACGACAGGTGGGGACCAGAAACGCCCCTGGGACGTGTCTTTAAGCCGAACTTCCTCATGGCAGAGTGCACCCCATCCCACTCCCTCCCCACACACCCCGCCCATGACTCCTGCAGGCTCTCGGGTGAAACTGAAAGTGAAACTGAAACTGTCTGCTG